AATGGTCATATATGTGGCCTGTTTTTTTGCATTCGCAAGCTTATAACGGATCTCCAATAAAATTGAATCGTTTATCTTCAGGTAAATTAAAAAATTGTCAAAAGTCTCTAATTTCCCTGTCACATTACCTCCGAAAAAGTTAATATACACAGAAGTTCGTCAGCTAAATATCGAATAAAGACATTTTTTAAAGAGGTAACCTTTTATGGAAAGTTTTTTATTAATCTTAGGAATAACAATACGCGTGGTATCTTGCAGACATCTTTTATGCTCGACAATGTGGTTTGCTGTTTTGAATCATTTCCACATATGAACTTCATGGTAATCTTCACAAGAACTTATATCCAAAAGCTCGGTGAATGCTGTTTGGTTATACCTTATTTTAAAGGTCTTTATGTAAACGTCAAACAGAAGCGCAATTTATCAGCTTATGACTGAAGACAGTGAAAACGAGCGAAATGACGAGAGATTTTATTCCACGATATTCAATAATTAGTTATCCACTAATTACCATATGTACAGAATATTTTGACTAAAGGCAAGTTCTTTTTATATAAAGAAAGTGGTCGCTATAAGTTTTATATTCAACAAAATATTTAAATTTACTGTTCTAATTTATAGCTGTTTTTTACGTCTCCAGAACCGGGGGATTATTGAGAAGATTTTATTTTTCTTTACAAGCACTTAGTACTTGTTATAGTTCTTTTAAGTACTTAATATGCCTAACGCTGGTCATTATTATTTCTAAGTTTTCGTATACGCATTCTTGCTGGTATGCGAGAAATAATCAAGTTGTTTGCAGCACTCGCTATACTGTATGTCGGAAAAACTGGGAGATTACTCTGGACGTACGCAGCAGTAGTGGTGGTGAGGAGGAAAGACGCTACCTCCAGCCGTATTTTTAAGTTCAACGAGGTCAAGATCCCCGTAAGAGGCGGCAACCGTGTGAGTCGCGAGCTGCTCGAATCGTAGTTCTCAAGCCCGCAGTCCTGTACTGGCACTTTGCCTGTGCAGTGGAACTATTCAAGTTGGTTGGGGAGGGGGTGGGAGCGTGGGTGACCAACGATTTCGATAACAGTGATCTAAAGTACAGCAACTTTGCTTTCCCTTAACTGACTACAAAAGCATGATAATGAATAATCGAAGATTAAGAGATACTAT